AAGGCAATAATCTTTGTACTTAGTAAACATCATGTTGATGTTAATTTTTATGCTTGGACGTTTTTTTTTGTTTTTTAAATGTTGAGTTTTAGTTATTTTTCTGATAAATAAAACCAGTGTTTTTTTTAAATTATATCAATTACTTAGAATTGGTACCGTAGCCAACACAGAAGAAGAAGTACGGGAAGCTTTCCGGGTTTTCGACCGTGCCGGAAATGGTATAATTTCTGCGGCAGAACTTCGGCACATTATGACCAATTTGGGCGAAAAGTTGACCCAAGAAGAAGTTGATGAAATGATTAGAGAAGCCGATATCGATGGCGATGGACAGATTAATTATGAAGAATTCGTTACTATGATGATGGCCAAATAAAATTAAATTTAATGTTAATTGATTAACACTTTTGTTAAATGTTTATTTGAGAAATATCTTGTGTAATTGAATAAAGTGGCCAAATAGTTTTTTACAATATGCTTTTTTAAGTTTATAAGTTTATAGTTTTAAAGTTTACATCAATCGCTTTTGATGTCAAGTGCTCTATAATCTATGATACAGAAAGTGTATGAAATGTGCATATTTCTATTTTTTCTATATCAATTTAAATTAAATATCTGGTTTGGTGTCTGTTTGGTACTGAAGCTACCTAGCCTAGAATATTTTTATCATATTTAATATTACTTCAATATATAGTTGAGTCCAATAAAAATCTTATACTATAAAATATTCTGCCAAGTATTGTTTTTCTTTCGAAGTTTACAAAGATCGCTTTTGATATAAAGAACTCTATTGCCACATAAAGTGTGTAAAATGTGCATATTTCTATTTTTTCTACATTAATTTAAATTTATATTTGGTTTGGTGTCTATGTTTGGTGCTAAAACTACCTAGCCTATAATATTTTTATCATCTTTATTATTTCTTCAATATGTCCAATAAAATGCTTATACTATAAAATAAATATATCGATACATCAAAATATCTCGAGAGGTATCTTCTGTAAATCATAGAACTAAAACATCTAAAAATGATGAAGTAGAAAATAAATTAAAATAACAAATTAAAACGTAGGTAACTATCAGTTTTCTAATTATTTATTTCCATTTATATCTAACAAAAATATAAATTATAATTCTCTCACAGAGCTTAGTACGTATTAACTTAGTATTAATTATATTAACTAAACAGAATGTTGCCTAAAAGAAAATATTTTGATCACTTTTTGTTTACATAATTTCATTAAGTACATAGAGTATTATATTATATTATTCTACATATTATGAAATGCTGAAAAGTATAAATATTTGCTTTGTATTATTATGCCAAAACATTTAGCAATGATATACTCTCAGTTTTTTGGCGATATCATCTGCAGTCATATTCTGAAAATGGATAATGAAAAATTATTTAAAAAATCCTTTATATTGCAAAATTTGCAATTTTTAACATACTCAAAAAAATTAGTTATATGGTAACAAACGAGAAATACTTGCACTCAATTTCTCGTTTTTTATGAAGTATGACTTCTAAGAATTTTTTGTATCTTTTAAATTCAAATCAATTAATTTCCAAAAATATTAAACGATTTCAACTGATGCAATATTTAGTTAATTTATTTTTACTATTATTTACTTACATCTGCTGCTTGAAAATCTACTATTTCTACTGGATCAACTTGCAAATATCCATTTTTGCTAAAAGTTCCTTTAATTCCTTTAACTTCCAGCCAGACGAATGGAGATACTGCATCAGTTTCAACTTCTATGCAGAATACTCCAGTTGATTTTCGCATGGAATTACTTTTGCCTAAAATAGAAATATTTTTTAAAAAAATTACACAAGTTTTCTAAAAAGTTGGGGAAAATTCATTCACAGGGAATAAATCCATTACTCAAAGTTCCTGATGGTAATATTCAAAACTGTGTCTATTATTCGATTAATAAAAAATGAAGTGAGAAGCACCACAAAAAATCTCTAAATACCACCTGTGAAGGGCGGGTTTAGTAAAAATTTAGGTGTATTCATTTTCTGCATGAGTTAAAAAAACAATCATAAATTTTTCATAAACTTTATAAAAGTACTGAAAATACAAGTGATGTCAGGTGTGCTAGAGGGTTGATTTTAAATATCTCCACATATCACCAAGGGGGAAGAGGGTCCCAAATTCCTTACAAATTTACAAACCAGAATCTTCTCAACGATTGATGGTCCTAGTAACTAGATATCTTACAATCATTTGAACTATTAAATCTCTATAAGTTTTCAAGGATTGATGAATATTGTGGATATAGAAAAAACTTAAAATGGAAAATATATTTTTATTACCGTAATATTGGGAGCCACCAGCCCAATAGCATCCTTCAGTGGCCCTAAAAACAGTACGGCCCTTGGTCCTAGAACTCTGGTACTATTTCCTTTGTAAAGTGGGCCGTGATGACACATTCGTTTGGTCTGCAACCTGACCAGGTCATTTTGCGTCTAAGAGGTGATTGTTGGGCTACTGTTACACTATTGCCTTTCTAAAAAATAAGAAATACTCTAAATAAAATTAAGAGGCAACTTGAATCTTACCATTTCTTGTATAGATGCAAAAAAATTGTTTCCATAATGCAGGAGTATTAATACTTTATCCTAAACTGCGCAGACTGTTGACAAAATTTAATCAATATTCATTTTAACATACACAAATCAATAGAAAACCATTAGGCAAATGCAAGTATTACATTTGATATTAATCAGAAATTTAATTTTTTTTATAATTATTACTTCTACTTACAATTAACAATTTTTCCTCGTCGACTTTCCTCGGTGTCAATGAATCCCAGCCATAATAACTGATTTTCAAAGTAGCCCTTATTCCTTTTACAGGATCTCGAACCACGAAGATCTTCAACATTTTTGCTTCGGATAATTGCATACTGACAATTGTTGGGGCGAAGAATTCTGTGGCATGGTAATGGAGCATTTTCCAATCTCCGTTATACTCTACATAAAAAAATGTAGATATAAATTTTATTTTTTAAATTCTAAATGATTAGATAGTATATAGTCGTAGTAAGTAGTTGTCATGGTAATATCATGAGCGTCAAATTAGAAAATATGTTCGTCTATGGAAAATTTAAATTGAAGATAACGAAAGATCTGAGGCTATACTTGCTTATATCTTTTATATTTTTATATATTATAGTTTGTAGGTACATTCGTCCAAAGTAGTATAGAATATGAGATATATTATTCTAATTTGGTTTTAAGTTGAAATTACCTATAGATGACCAAGATGGAGCAACCCATACATCATTCAATTGCCAATAAAGAGCACCCATAGTTTTGGCTGGACTTATTCTACCGACACGATATGCCTCGGATTCAGTTCTAGTTGCCATCGCTTGGCTAATCTATTTTAAATTTAAAAAAATCATTAAAATTAATTATAACATAATTTTACATATTTCTTCTATACAAACTATAGTTTTAAAAACAGCTATTATGCCAAAAATATCACTCATAGAAGTATTCTTTTTTCTATTTGGCTGATAATCAAAGATTTTGAGTTGGATTTATATAAAAGTTTACAGATAAATTTATTCCAAATTGCCATAGATTTGCAATAAAAATGATTTAATCATATTTAAATTTTAAACACAGGACAAGCATAAATCTACCAGAATTAATAGTCATAAACAAACTAATGTAGCAAATGTAGAATAAAATGTGAAAATTGTTATGAGATTTTTGTAGTTGCAAATTTTGTAGAGACACACCAAGAATCCAACTCGTGAAGACAAAAACTAAGTTTATTTTATTCCATAATTAATTTTTGTTGCAATTACGGTCATCAGATAATCAGATTGAACGTTTGAATTATATAATAAAAATATGCGATTGATAATGATAATATGGTTCTCAATTCCAATAAGTTTGGCTTAAATTTTGATATCGAGATGTTGAAGAACTTTCAGTAAAATTTGATCCAGAAAAACATTATTTTGTTAGTTAATAGACAATATGAATATTTCCTTATATTTTTGATTATTTACCTGACTGTAATAAAATGCAGTTTCAGGAAAATGTACACTGTTTTCACTTGGCAATGGCAAATGTTTTTTGATAAGCGTCACATCGGTTTGTAGCCTAGTGGCAGGTGCTGCCTGCAATCAAGAATAAATATTATAAAGAAAATAATTTTACTTTATATTTTGAATATATACAAAAAATTTAGATAAGAATGAAAAATCTTTAACAGTTTGTCAATTTTTACCTATGTTCTGGACCGGCTTTAGCACTTGTCCAGGAATGGTGCGAAGGCAAACCTTGAAAACCATATTCGGACACAAATCTGGCTTTTGGATAAATATTCGGATCCCAACCATCGTTCACATAATTGTAAACGTGCACTATATACATTCAAAAAATACTTTAATTTATTTCAAAAGTATATAATATATTTCTATTATGGACACCATTCTATTAAAGGAATCGCAGCTGTAAAAATAGCAATTGACAAAATAATGTGATACAACTTCTAAGTACTTTCTTTAGTGAACATCTAACTAATACAAAGTAAAAATAAAAAATAATTACTTCATTTTATAAACAAGTTTCTACTTTTACTTGCATTTATATATATAATAGTGGTTCGACAATCTTTTATCTACGTATTAATAACAAAAATTATAACTATTTATTTTCTTTATGATTTTAGTTAAAGTTTAATGAACTAATAGTATGATTAATATCTAGTCAAGAAGTAAGCTAAAAAAAATTTGAGACAATTTTAATGCACCTTTTACCTAGTAGACACGCCGAAGGTTGTTGCTACTATCTTCTTGTTTATATTATATGATAATTATTGTTAGCAATCTCTGCTTAATGTTAATGAATATGTGAAACAGATTGCAGAATAAATTAAATTAAAAAAAAAAAAAAAATTAATGCACCTTTATCAATTTATATAACTTACTGTCTCCATATCTGTAATCTTGGGGATCACTGGCAATGAAGTCTTGGTCTTCCGAATTTATACCATTAGATGGACTTGACACTAAAAATGTTCTTGATGGGTCGACTCTCCTTACTGCATCTCTTATTACGTTCACATATAATTCTTTATATCTGTAAATGCAAAAACACCTCTGAAGCACATTGAATTGTTTAAAAAACAACGGATTTACAGTTATTTTGATTTAAATATGAACACTTATGAAATTAGATATGTATTCTCATCAATGCTGAGTATGAAGTCAAATTGCATGTAGATACTTTTTGAATTATGGTCGATTCAGAGCAAGTCCATTTTTTCAGAAAAATTTGCCGATGGTCCCACCTTAAGTGAATTGATAATTTTCCTAATGGATTAAAATACAAAATATTGGTCGTAGTCGCCTAAACATTTTGTGGCCATTTATAGAAGGCGTAAAGGTAAATATTTAAGGTATATAGAATTCTCATACTTACTCTTTTTCATATCGTTCCTGTTCAGTAATAGTTCCGTACCAATTTTGGCGTAAAGCTGCTTCATTTTCATTGTTTCCAGCCCAAATAGCAATACTAGGATGATGCTGTAACCTCCTTGCATTTTGCACTACTTCTATTTCCACGGTGCTAAAATATAATTTCAAAAATTATATATAAAAATTTTATAAAAAAATAATAATACATATTTAGATAGTATTGAGTTGGTAATGTAACAGATTACCAGCTAGAAAATATCTACTTTATTAATGTCTGGTAGAATAATGGGCTTAGGGTCATCTTTTACTAGCAATAAGTTGATGACTTTATACTTACTTTAAGAATTTTTCATAAGTTGGATACATAGCACAAGCGAACATAAAATCTTGCCAGATCAGTATGCCCATTTCATCGCAAGTTTCATAGAAAAGTTCGGATTCATAAACACCTCCTCCCCAAACTCGAAGCATGTTCATGTGGGCGTCTTTTGCTGATTTTAGTAACCACTGGACTAAAAAAATTATCACAATTAATATATAAATGCGAATATGTATTATTATTTATTTAAAAATAGAGAACAGCTAATATTATAATTAAAGGAGTGCTTCAACTTTAATAGCAAATGTGTTAAAAAAGCTAGCTACTTGTGACATTTTTTTAATTTAATTTAATTTAAAGACATCTAATTTTAATTTAATTTAATTTAGTCATATATCAAAATATTTTGTAAATTTTCTTCTAAATAAATATTTTCAATTTAATGAAGAGTGTCAAAATTATATTACCAGTGCTATAATTTGCTCCCCATTCTGGCAAGATATCAGCTGGAATCCAATTAGATCCTTTCATAAAAAACGTCGACATCGTTTACTTTGAAGAAAAATGTGAGACCAATGTTATCTGAGAAAAATATAAGAATTACTAATTTTATTAACTACGCAAAAACAAAATTATGAACATTAAAGAAAAATTCATGCTCGGTATATTAAAAGTTTTTTTTAATTAAATAAGTAAAATGGCAAACCTTTTGCTTTTATGAATGCCAAGTTTTTATTTAAAATAAAATCAATTTAAGAAAGTAATAATTTCACATGATCGAAAATATTTTAGAAAAATTATGTGCCTGTCAGACATAATGCACTTTGGATAAATTGATTAAATTGAAATTAGACAATTTTAAAGAAGGACAACTGAATATAGAAAATTTTATTTATATATCTATATAAATATTGTTTTATAATATTTTTTATTACCCGTAGGTTCTTGAACCAATTCAATTGTCCTAAACCCAATTCTTTTAATCCGATTTATACTGACAGAATCTGGACCAACGTAACTGACTTCCAAAGGATAAAGTGGTTGGGCTCCTAAGCCATTTGTCCACCATAATTCTACAAATTTCTAAAAAAAAATAATTCATTTTGAACTACAGTAAATAAAATAATAACTGGGAAAAATAATTTTGCGACAATATATATACATCATAAATTAAACTAAGATGCATTGAGCATATTCAAATAAAAGCTACATTTAAAAATAATAATCTAGTATTTAGCACATGTATGAGAATTGTGTAAAAATCTAAGTAATAGATGAAAGCATTAATAACTTTAAAACATTATTTTTGCGCTAAGTTTGGTATTAAAATTAAGTAAAATTATTATTTTTGCAATCTAATGCTGGGTGTTATAAATTATTTTAATAAGTATATTCTTAACAGGGAGGAACTAATTCAAAATTAAATTTTTTACCTTATGAATAGGTAATGTGAATGTGTAGGAAACTACACCATCTATAGATTTTATGTTCAACTCAGCAACATCTGAAGCTAAAATATCTGTAGAATTTTGGTAGTTTCTGCAAGTTAATTTAATTTTGTTAGTTCATCACATTTTGTTAAAAAATAATCGAA